TGTTCTGCAATTTATTATTTTATCAACCCTATTTAAAATGTAATGTGCATGTTCCACTATTATCAACAATATTGAATAACTGAGAGTCAAAGAAAAATCTGAGAAAACACAAACCAATAAGTACGAATCTATTCCGTACACGAGGCAGTGACAGAGATATTACTACAAATGAAACCAAAACAAACGCGTGCATCTGTCTTAATGCAGGTTTCAGTCGTGTCTCGCTCTGAAAGAGCAACACAACCTTTCGAATTGTCATCCATATGTTACACGGTTTGCTCAAAATGTCAGCTTCTACCAAAGAAGCTCTTCCGCTCTGTGAAATATCACGCTCTGTTTTAGCGTCTGCGGAGGTCACCGTGGATCGCGCGGTGCTAGCGTCATCTTGCTAAAGTTTAGCCCGTTTCCTGTTACTCAGAGATGGCAAATTGTTGCATGTTTATTTCTCCGTGTCGCTGATGAGAGCAGTCGGCTTTTCTGCAGCACAGTCGACGAAAAGTAAGCTGCAGAGCATATTAAACAGGACGAGACTCGGTGGACTAGATGACATTTACGGCAAATGTAACATATTTCCTCAACAGCGATTACAGCCAACACTCGGCGCTTAGCAGTGGGAACAGGACTGCTTATGAAAATGTGCTCCGGCTTGTAGAAATGAGACATATGAAAATTCTCAATCATGATATCAGTGAGCAAAGTAATCAAAGTTTTTTGCTATTACATTATTGTTACAGCTGCACTGCGCAAGATTATTTGGTTAAAACTGAAAGCAGTGTCATTACTGAGTGAGGAGAATAAAAACAGGCTAAAATATGGTGAGCGTGAGGGGCTGCGAGTCGCCCTGTAAAGCCTGGAATGATCGTTTAAAAGTCAGAGGCATCGAGGTTTTCGGACCACGTCGTACAGCCTCAAAAAGAAGGTCCGGCTCGATGTTTAGGTTTCAAATATCCTCAGAATCAACATTATATTGATGAAGATCTGATGACAATAGTAGATGATTCACTCACATCCTCAGAAGACGCTCCTTCACCAAGTTTAGACTGAAATCTCTTTCAATCAGATTCATCCATTTGGGGGAGAGGTCTGAAGCACAACCCACTGTTGAATTGTGGTCAATTGTATAACTCCTACATGCTTGTTCTGTGTCTCAGAGTGGTCATTCTGTCTCTAAGGGCCTGTACTTGTTTATGCCTCTCTATCACAGGTGCACAACCTTGATGCCTTACTGTTGGAGAAGGAACCAACCGGTGATCTGTGAACATCACTGTGTGGATCGTTTTGTAATAAATCTAACCTTTTCCTCAAAATGTGTCTAGTTTTTTTTTCTCAATAACTTCTATAACAGCTACACGAGTCAACACCACGTTACAGAATATTCTTCCACACATTGTGTGCTGTTACATATTTCCACCAGAGAGGTCTCCAGATCCCCAAAATGGACATAGTGTAGCTTTAAACTGTACTGGAAATGTTTACAATGCACTAATACCCACTGAAATATTTAAGACTGTAATATTCATGCAGAGAGAGAGAGAGAGAGGATAGTTACACTCTCTTGGACTCCTGGACACTGATGGCTGTGGCATCACCTAATTCTACTTCATTATTTCCCAAGAAAGAGCCAACACTTAGAGCTGTGAGGCTGTAAAATGTTTCAAATGTCTTTACAGCATCAAATATCTGGCTATCTTCAAGTTTTGTGTTCACTGAACATGAAATAGTTCACTAACAGACAAGAATCTGTGTCTTGCATTCTGTTTGGAATTTACTTATTATTTGAAGTTAATAACAATAACATCAAAACTTCCAGGCAGCCTAGTTAACTTACTTTGCAGCCATGTGCAAAAGTTTGGGCATCCCTGGTCAAATGACATGTTTTGTTGATTCTCTAAGTGTAAATAAGTGAACATCCTCTACAGAGACACAATTCTGTACATTTTACTGTTTATTTGCTGAATTTAACGTACTGGGGAAAAAATAAAACAAAAATGTAGCCTGTGCAAAAGTTATGGCACATTTTAGAATGTCTGTAATTTTTTTCCAATATGTTAAACTCAGCAAGTAAATTGAAATTTAAGCTCTCTGTGGATGATGTGTTCACTTGTTTGCTTAGAAAGTGAGCAAAATATGTTATTTGACAAATTTTTGCATGTGACTAAGAATTTTCAAACTATACTTTTTAAAATTGAATGGAAGCTGATGTTTTTCACCTTGTTAGTTTGTTCCTCTGGTCATTCTAAGCTAAATTTATCATATAAATAAACAACATTGTTCAAACCTCATCTGCATGAACTGACCTTCCTGATGATGCTGCTGCATCTTCGTAATCATAGACATTGCTACTCCTGCTTTTCCTCTTTTTCCAAATGTTAGACTTATGATCGAACCTCATTCTCTGTGGTTATTGTTTGCTATCCGGTGTTGACCAGAGGAGGATGGGTTTTGAGTCCTAGTTCCTCTGAAGGTTTCTTCATCTTGCTCTTGAGAATTTTTCCTTGCCACTGTCGCCACTGGGGGCTCGGACCCAGACCAATGGGGGCTCGGACCTGGACCAATGGGGGCTCGGACCCAGACTTTTCAGTAAAGCAACTTTGTGACATCGTTTGTTGCACAAAGCACTGTATATATAAACTTTGACTTGACTTAACTAGACTTCATACGATTTATAATATAATAGAATTTATAGTATAATTTACAATGCTAAATCCTTGTTTTCCCATAATCTTACAGTGAGACTGAAGCAGTAAGCCTGTTTGCTTCCACTGCCACTTTTTTAAAAAAACACTCTACCCCTACATGGTTATGAGAATTATAATATTTGAAAGAGTATGATTATTATTGGGTTTTATATTATGGTATATCATTAAAAAGGGTAACCATCTCACCCTGCCAGCTCTTAACAGGCTCTTGTTTTAGCAAACTATTTCTTTATTTTTCTAAGGTGTTCTTTTCAGACCCGCTGCTGCTGTAAAAGACACTGAGTATCCACTGCGACGGCAGCAGTGACAGCCAGGTTGTTCATCGTAATGTGGGTTAATTGAACTGCTGGCTGTGTGTTGGACTCTGGATTCAAGTCATGAAATTGTTCTGACAGCTGCAAAAGCCTCATTTAGCGCCGCAGCTATAAAATGGAGAATCCTGTTTGAACCAGTGAGGTTCGTAATTACAAATGTTGGTTATAGTATAAACAGGCCTGTTGCGAGCTCACAGAAGGACGCTGCATCAAAGCGGCATTACCTCAGTTCCCCTTGCGCTAAGTGCCGAGCAAAAACACTCGCTTCAGTTCAAAAACAGGCGCTGTGGTTGGTTTTCACACAGAAACAGCTCATTTAGGGCTTTCAGCCTGAAGACCGGAGGCCCTTTAGCAAAGTCTACTGACTGTGTCAATCCTGGAAGTGTCTGATCACTAAGAGAGGGGCTTCATTGTTACCGTAAGAGGGTTTTATGTAATGAGAAGAGGACACTGTAAGATCTGGTTTTGTGTGGAAAACAATTATTGTAACACCTTATTCAGAAAAAAATAGAGGTTATATTGGATTAGAAATGGATTAGAATTAACAAATTACAATGGGATTATTATTTATATTATACTTTTAGCCTGTACTAGTACATCAGCACATACTGAGACATATTTACAGCCAAGATGGTGAAATGGACATCAAATGTTGTGGCTCCCAAGGTGGATTGATTTGTGTTGAAAGGATAAAATAGCTTAACGTTTGGGTTGTAACTGCTGGACTACACACTGGATCTAATCACTGCATTGTAAACAGTTGTGCATACAAAACCCTGTTTTTTCACATTAGTGAAAACTTGGTGTAGTTATTAACACCACTTATTGTTCACATTTTATTTTTGGCTGTACAGAAAGGAGATGTTCTACTGAAAATAATATACGTTTTCGGTAACACTTTCTATGAATGTCGCATTTGTAAGCATCTATAAACACATTTATAACATGTTATAATGTATTCAGGGGTGGGGCAGGGGCGGGCAAGGGCAGGGCACCCCACCCCCCACCTCACAATGCTAATAATGGACAGAAGCCAGATGCAGTTAGTGCTACACAAACTCACTCGTGCTGACTGGTGTTCCTCTCCATCAGCCTTAGCCGTATTATCATTTTGGTGTGAAGCGTTTCTTTAATCTGAAGTGTTCACTGCATAATGTTTTCCTGACAAACAGCTTTACATGAACAGACGCGAATGCTGCAAACCCACGGCTGCAGTGATCAGGCAATATCCCCCCCCTGTCACAGCCGGATGAAATATGAGCCAAGTTTAGCAAGGTAATTATGAATCTATCACAATTTACAATCCCAAGATGCAAAATGAATGTGTATTTCATGGGCATCTGATGGTTAATCAATCACTTAATTCAGCCCGTGGCCTCTTTATGCAAGATAAATTTCAGCTCTGACGACTTCTGTTCTCCTCCATTCTAAACTAATTACGGCGCTCCGTTTGTTTTAGATATCGGCACTGCTAAACGTCCACAGGTGCTCCAGGCTTTTATACAAAAGCACCTATGTGAGCTTGTCGGGCTCATATTTGGTGAATAATTGCTCATAAATGTCACTCAGTGTGTGAAATATTTAACCCTAAGGAGTCTCAGCGATGATAAAAGCATGTTGTAATGTTATATACATTCATAATTTATTAAAAACAAGTGGAGAAACAGTGTGAAAAGTGCAGATTCTAGCCGTTTAATCCATTCCACATTTGTTTTTGTTTTATATTTATGCTATATTTTGATTGAATTTGAATTAAAGTTACTGGTTTAACTTTGTTTTGTGAAATAAAAACAATGAAAAAAGTCAGAATTTGTTGAGAGAGAATATAAACTGAATGTAAATGTTATGTAAATATGGAATTAATGATGTAATTATATAATTGAATTCAAATAGAAGAGCAAAATGACAGTAATAACTCTCGACTATAAGGGGTCAATATGGGTTAATGTATTTAAATAAGTGTGTTAGTATAATATCTCAGTCTTACCCGGTAGTAGTCAGTGCTGTAAATGTCTCTGGACATCCCAAAGTCTCCAATCTTGACCAGCAGGCCGTTACCCACGAGGCAGTTCCGGGTTGCCAGGTCTCTGTGTACGAAGTGCTGGGATGCCAGATAAACCATCCCCGCGGCGATCTGAGTGGCTATGTGCAGCATCTGAGACAGGCCCAGCTCCCCATTGGTCTGCAGCGGCTTCCCATCAACCAGGATCATAGCATCAGGACCATGAGCTCTGTGACCAGATCAGAATTAGCTTTATTTTATTTATATTTCTTTTCATATTAGTGTTAAAGTGTTTGCTTTGAGTGACCCTATAACTTAATTATGTTTATTTTATTAAAACTAATGATTGAATGTGTCATTTTGACACTGCAAAATCAAAACATGACACAAACTTTACCAAGTGTTTCAGTAATGACTGTTTCGGTAGTGAGAGTTTTAGATCCTGCCAGTACATGACCAGCAAACACAGCACTGATCAGCTGTTCACACAGAAAATCATAATATTTTTTCATTAAAACACAAAAACATACTTAATTGCAGAAAATATGACGATTCTGAATATTCCACACTGATTTTCAGACTTTGAGACACATTTACTTCAAAACTGTGGGATCTACCTGCTCACCATGTGGCCATGAGGGACAGGGATGCAGCCTCACTTCCTGCTCTAAAATGCAGGGGCGTGGCTAAAACAGGACTCCGCCTACAGACTAAAACTCCTTGTGTTTTGGTAGTGATGACAACGTGGGACAGCATTTTTGAATAAGGTTTTCAACTTTCAACTTCACTTAAAAAAAATAATTTAAAAAATCATTAAAAAAGGATAAATTTGAGGGTTATGGTTGGGACACCACTCAATATAGGGTGTGTCTCAAAACCTAGTGAGCTCTACATAGACAGCATTTTACGTCATAATATGCGCTCCCGACAAGAAGGCTGTCCCAATTCTTAGATATCTCAAACATGCTGCCTGCTGAGGTCTCATTTTGGCCCAATGTCGAGAGAGCATCGGATGTTTCCTCAGCCGCTGAGGCAATCCCACAATGCAGCGCGGCGCAGCTTTTGTCTGAAGATGGCAGAAGCGCTTCACCAAGCAGCGACATCATCTTCAAACGTAAGTTATTCTGATTTTCTGGGGTATTTATCTGTTTTCTAGTCATAAAGGTGCACAAATATCCAATACTTTCCACGTTTGACCACAACTGTTGTCTATTCTGCTGTTTCATTCAGAGCAAATGCAGTTAAAATCGCTATATAAACCGCCAGAGCAGATCCATGTTGGCTAACTGTAATTTTGACGGCTGAGGTAAGTAAACGCCGGTCTCGTGCAGTGGGCGGGAACAAGCAGTGACGTCACTGTTGTCTAACTAGAGCGTCTCATTGATCTGCCTTATAAGGATGGATGACGGTTGGAACGCTGCCTACTTAGACAGCTGCCTATGTAGACAGCGGCTACTTAGAGAGCTCACTAGGTTTTGAGACACACGCATAAAGTGCCCTATAAATTGATTTTGTGCATATTTAGCTTATGACCATCGCTATTAACACCTTGCATTTAAATTGATTAATCATTATAAATATCTATGATCTATGGTCACACACACACACATATTATATATACATATATAATAATATATATGTATATGTATGTGTGTGTGTGTGTGTGTGTGTGTGTGTGTGTGAAAAAGTAAATTTAAAGATACATTTTTTTTCCAGGTAATTTTGGCCCATTACACTTCGGTTCATCATGAAATTCTGAAACATTATAAAGGGCAAAAAGGGCAACTGATCATTTAAAATTATGTCAAAAAAAGGAAAATGACACAAATGGAGATACAAGCTTTTGTCTTGACAATAACAACTAACACTGCATAAATATAGACACCAAAATAAGACATAACTGCAAAAACTGATTTCCCATCCTGAGCACAGCTGATTCACTCATAAACAAACCCTTTTCTTGGTTGCACTGCGATTTAGTGATGTAGCACAGAGAAATCACTAAACTAAATCAGTTCAACTCCAGAACCCGGATCAAGCTGAGTAACGTTTGGCTATTTGATTTCCGTCGTATCTCTTGATGAAGCGGCGTTCAGAAAGCGCAGCGAGCTGACAGGATGCGAGCTCCAAATGAGCAAAGACAAACATGCTAATGCTAATGGCATTAGCACTAGCATGGCCTACATTTCAGTCACGAATATCGGAGCGCCCCCTCCATCATCCAGGAGCAGCGTGCTCCCTGCCGAGGCAACGGCATGCAGTGACTCTGGAGGCGAGCGCATGGTGGAGGTGTGGGGGGGGGCCATAAATATGATTCTCCTTTCTCAGCACAGTGAATGTGTATTATCCAGCGTCTATCAGGACACGGTGTCATCACGCATTTGGCGCTTTTGTAGTAACATGTTATCCCTCTTAATCCAGCCGGCAGGAAATAGAAGGCAATTCTCGCTCCCAGGACGGGCCTTGTCAGAAGCGATGTACGCAGTGTATCCACCTCTTATTTCTTGTACAATTCCTCCACAAAAGGTTGTTACCCATCCATCACGCTCTGATAGCTCGCGCTGGAGCAATATTGCACAAGGACGACAGGAAATGAAAGGAGTTGGATCTCATCTCGCCCTGATACCTTTTAATATGAGACTAAAGGCCACTGTTTATGTCAGATTTCCATAAAAAGCATTTAAATATTGCATTTCACGGTGACTGAAATTCGAAGGTATTACATCTTCATCCGTATGATAATAACTGCTCCATGAATATTACTATATTCGACGTTGCATGCAAGTATGAGCATTTCGCAGTTTTCCTCGTGGACTGTGGCTGCGTGAATGTAGACAGTACTGTGCAAAATTCAAAGACCATCCATTTCCATCCAAAATGGCCTCTGAGTAAAATTTAGACATTTTTCAGCGTCAAATGCCCGTCTATCAATTTAGATTACAAGTCGTTGTGTCAATCCAATGCCATTTCATAAACATCTGACATATATATATGTGGATTCTGTTCATAAGTACTCAATGAAACACTGCTTTGTAAATACGTTTTTCCATGCATATGAATGTGTTGTGATGTCAGTACATTGAAGGAAATTATGCCCAATCAAGTGAAAACATCTTAAATTTAGCCTATATATCTTTTATTTATTATCATGAGATTGTTGTAAGAATATTGTATGAATATTTGCCTGTTTTCAGTAAATGTATCTAGTGAAAATGTAATATTTCATTGGCAGATATAATAGAATATATAATAAAAATAATGCTAATAAGTTTGCTTATAAATTATCTGGCAATAATCTATTTATCTATATATCTATTTATCTATATATCTAGTTAAAATGACCCCTGTGATGGCCTGGCCACCTGTCCAGGGTGTTTCCTGCCTTCTGTCCAATGGCTGCTGGGATTGGCTCCAGCTCCCCTGTGACGTAGAAGGATAAGTGGCTTAAATATTGTGTGTATGAGTGTGTGTGTGTGTGTGTGTGTGTGTGTGTGTGTGTGTGTGTAGTTAAAATAACTTAAAACAAGTAAAAAATGTACAGAAATTGGCTAAATTATTATTTATTATATTTATTAATTACTATATTTATTATTTGGCTAAATAATTCAATAATATTCTTGCAACAATCTCAACAGGTGAAATATTAAATATATTGGCTAGATTTACAATGAGTGTGTTTACATGCACTTAATAATCAGATAATGGGGAAACACCAGGTCTACATGAATCAGACAGTAATCAGATTTCTGCTTTACAACCAGCCAATAAACTCACAGAAGAAGACGTGACATAAACGTAATGTAAAACTCAAACTTCATGAGCGGCATTTAAAAAAAATGTGTGCCACTTTACCTAAAAATATGAACAAACATCATCTAGAAGATGAAGAATATTTAAATCCTTCATTTTGCTGAGCATGTATTTGGTTTCAGCACCGCTCCAAAAGTGTTTTGCTGCATTTCGTGGCGACGCTGCTCACTTATTTTTGGTATCACCGTCTGTTTTCACACATGCTCAGACTGAGAAATCCGAAAGAAATCAGAGTAAGAGCTCACATGCACTGAGAAATCTGATGAGCTAAAATCCAGCCTCTTTATCAGATTTATTAATCAGATTTCTAGACCTTACTCCGGTCTAAAAAATCAGAGTGTGCTGTTTACATGACCATTTGAATAATCAGATAGCTGTAGACATCCGATTATGATCGGATTATCAAGTGCATGTAAACACACTCACTGTTTTCACTTGCCAACGTATCACTTTTTGCCATGTAACCTTTAAATAGTGTTACCAATCATTCCAGTCATTCAAATTGAAATTAAACGACACAGTACAGCAGGATCATCTGCACCCCATGGCCCCAGTCTGTCTGAACTGGACACAGTCACATCTCTGATTCACAGCTAAACCCAACATGGCTGCTCAGTCTTTTGATATGGAATCTCATTCACTTTAACTGGAAATCAAGCAAGCGCCCTTTCTGCTCCAGTAATCTTCCTCTAAATGTCATTCACTCCTCAAGTGAGCATGCAAAGACCAGCTCTCTGTACCAGCAGACACACAGCTGGAAAATACAGCAAACATCCTGAACTCGGTGCTCCTCAAGGCTCTTAATCCTCCTCCATCACGTCTGCAGGTATATGTGATATGTTTTATATGTCAGTGGGCTTTTTTGAAGAATATATATCTTTTTACAAATGTTCTCACACCTTATCCTGCATTATGAGAGTATACTGAGTGCTGTTCTCTTGGCAAAGGGATGCTTAAAATATTGAATACAGGGGTGTTTGTGTGAGTTTTTGTGAAAAAAATGAAATAAAAAGTCTACTTTTTCTTAAATAAGCTCACCTCACCTTTGGTTTCTCTCACATTTTAATGTAAGCAAGATAATAAGCAACAGATTTCCCTTTAGAGCAATTTTGCATTTTTCTTCTCTAAGGATACCAATAATTCTGGGAATATTGTTTTTCAAATATATTCTTAATTTCCTTCATAGTTCTACAGATGATGCGAAATCTGTAAAGTATTAGCTTTATATTTGAATGAGTTTATACAAATACATGCAACAACAGTGGTTTTATATTATTGAAAACACTGATTTCAAAATTCATGGTTCATGAGTTCACACACTGCCTTCAAATCATCCATAGTACAGGGAGATTCACTCGAAAGAGGCCCTGAATATTCTGTAATAACTCTCGCGAGGGCGGAGCAATCTGAACGAAACAACGTGCAATGAGCTCCTCAGTATATGGAGCTTCGAACAAGCCGGGATGCCCCTGCGTCGGAGCGATGAGGTAGGCGCCAGACAACTGTCGTCACATTTAACCTCCGTTTGCAACTTCCGGATGCAGACCCCCCCGTACCCCTTCATGTGTCTGGCAGAAAACGGAGATCACTTCCAGCATTGCATGTAATGTAATCGACACACACGTCAAAGTATGTAGCGTATTTTTTGGTTGTGATTGCTTCATCCTAACAGGAGTTACAGCAGAATATTCGGGGCCTCGTTCGTGTGAATCCCCCTCACTCTTCTTAAAAAGAATTTTTTTCTTAAAACCACTTTACTCATTTTTCACGAAGATTCTGACATTCACCAATGACGAACACAAAGGTGTGAACAGTTCTGTGCTTTAAGAACACGTCATGAATCTGACGCAGACTTTTTCTGAGGACCTTTCATAAGAACACATTTAAGAACAAACTCAGAAAAGATACTGGAGAATGAGACTCAATGACTGTCTATATATACATACACTGATCAGGCATAACATTCTGACCACCTTCCACAGGGTGAGAGGCAGATGACGTGTATCTCAGCCCCTCTTCATAGGCTCATAACTCCGGATGTGAGTCTCGTATGATCTCGAGATAAGATGGAATGGAAAGGGCGACTCTACAGATTCAGGAAGTGTTTGAACTGGATTTCTGAGCTGGATCATCACAAACATACAGAACCAGATATAGAAACAGAGAATTTGATGTGCAGACGAGTTCATGAACCCCAGAATGTTAAGACTGATGTGTGAAAATGAGGTCTGTTCTGATTGGCTGTGCTGTAGCGTGCCTCATTCAAAAAGCCCTCAGAGCTGAAACACTCCTTGTAACTTTGGCATAAATGGGCGGAGCTAAACTGCAGTAGGCTGAATTGGGGGATATACACCGATCAGGCATAACATTATGACCACTCCTTGTTTCCATGCTCATTGTCCATTTTATCAGCTCCACTTACTATATAGGTGCACTTTGTAGTTCTACAGTTACAGACTGTAGTCCATCTGTTTCTCTGATACTTTGTTAGCCCCCTTTTACCCTGTTCTTCAGTGGTCAGGACCCCCATGGACCCTCACAGAGCAGGTACTATTTGGGTGGTGGATCATTCTCAGCACTGCAGTAACACTGACGTGGTGGTGGTGTGTTAGTGTGTGTTGTGCTGGTCTGAGTGGATCAGACACAGCAGTGCTGCTGGAGTTTTTAAACCCCTCAGTGTCACTGCTGGACTGAGAATAGTCCACGAACCAAAAATATCCAGCCAACAGCGTCCTGTGGGCAGTGTCCTGTGACCACTGATGAAGGACTAGAGGATGACCAACACAAACTGTGCAGCAGCAGATGAGCTATCGTCTCTATCAATTTGCATAAAATGCCATATCTCAGTGTGTCTCTGTAGAGGATTTGTAACTTATTTTCATTTAGAAAATCAACAAAACACATCATTTGACCAGCACTGCTCACACTGTTGCATTCAGCTGTGTGTATATTGTGAGTATTGGGAGATTAACGTACCTGAGGAACTTGTTCAGGTCTCCATGCTTCATGTACTCAAATACCATGATGAGGGGGTCACCGTCCACACACACGCCGTAAAACTTGACGATGTGTTCGTGCTGCAGGTTGGTCAGGAGTTCAGCTTCTCTCTGGAAATCTTTCCTCGCTGCCAACGTCGGGTCCTTCAGGGTCTACAGTAATAACACAACACAAAACAGACAGTTTACAGCGTCAGATTAGGCTGTAAACCAGACTCAGCTGCCTTTCGTCGGGCTGCGTGGGGAAAAAAAGTGCCTTTGCAGATGGAACACATTCGGTCTGGTTTGCCATGATTTTAGTGGGTTTTAATGATTCAATATTACTGCACTGCTGATTAACAGAGCTAAAATTTAAATTCTCCCAAAAATTAATCATTCATCAAAACACTGATGGACGCTGTGTTGTGGACAATGTTAAAGAGGGTAAAACACCAGAGAACTTTATAAAGACTGCAGAAGTGATTCTGATATGATCTACACTCTTAAAAAATATGGTCCTTCAATGATTCTTTAGTAAAGAAAATGGTTTTATATAGAACCACGAACACTCACTTTGCATAATTAAAGGGTTCTTTGCATTGTGAAGGGGTTCTTCAGATTGATGGAAAATGTCCATAAATGTCCTGGAAACCTGGACACTGACAGCTTCACGAATGATGGATTTTACATAAGACGCAATCCTGGCTCAGTAGGAGCCAGTTTGGTTTTTCAGAAAGGAAATCAACAAATGAATAAGGACAACTGGAAAACTACACAAAGACAGACAACACACACACACACACACACACACACACACACACACACACACACACACACAATCAATACTCTATAATAATGAGCTTTAAAGAGGGACGTCACCAGCAGATAACAGGCTTCTGTCAGTCTAACAGAATAAAAAAGTGCAAAAGAGAAAATAATAACACTTTCTATGAATGTCACATTTGTAAGCATCTCTAAACACATTTATAACATGTAATAATGCATAAGGCATTATAAACATGGTTATAAATATTTATAAACACTGAATTGCATTTTATAGCCATGTGTATTATACATTATGAATTGTTAATATAATGCATTATAAGTAGTGTTATTAACATGTTATACTGTCAGTGCCAAAGAAGTCAGTCCCAGCTTGGAGAGAACAAAGTAAAGACAAATACAAATTATTTCCACCCTGAGATTTCCAGTATATTATTTCTCAGCGCTGGTGCTGTTAGAGCTGCATGTTCAGGGCTTCAGTCCTGAATATTCAGATTCCCAAATAAGCCGTTCAGCCTAGAGTTAATGTGCTTTTCTTAACCAGAGCTCTCACTTTAAATGCTACATTACATCACAGTACCCATCAGCCCCTCCCCTGAACCCCCTCTGACATCACACTGAGCGTGAAGTCACTGTGTAGTGAAGGCCTGGAGAGGGAGAGGCGAGATAGTAGAGTGCTGTCATTGTAATTTGTTCCCTCGCTGGTTCTAACGTCAAACACTTTGTAACATCACTACACTACAGTATAGTAATGCTAATTTCTGTTAGCATTCTATTGGATATGCAGTGCTAAGTTAGTGCCAAGCTAACGGTGGTGTACATTACCTTTCCCACATTGGGTAAAACACTGATGGCAGCTCTAGTTTAAACTCTGACATTTGAAGCCTGTAATGTGCTTTACTGTGAATGTTTTAGTGTTTCAGTAAATCCTTCAGTAAATACTTCAACTTGAAGCTTCACTCTGAACACTGGAGGAGGCTTTAGTACAGTACGCTTCACTTTACTTAGAGCGGACAAATATGACTTATGAGCTGTTATAATTTGTTATGAACAGTACTTATAATGCATTATGTCAACAATTCATAACGCACAATAAGCATGGCTGTAACGTGTAATGCAGTTTTATAAATATTTATAGCCATGTTTATGATGCCTTATGAATGCATTATAACATGTTATGTGTTTATAGATGCTTACAAAGGTGACATTCATAGAAAGTGTTACCGAGAAAATTCACACCACTAACACACTTTCTGATACTGAAGATAAACATTTCTCTAATGAATATATTAGCCTTTGATTCTGCTTGACTGTTTTACAGCTGAGTTTAACGAGAGATTACAGAACATTTTCAGAGTAATTATTTCTAACTTGTCCCAGTTTTATGAAGTAGCACCTTTTCATCAGAAGCTTATATTTCACTCTTTTTGAGTCCTCTTAATAAAGATGAGATTTCTGCATTTTGGCTGTCTGCCATGCACTTTCCCTCCAAGGCTGGTGGCGCATACCAAGTTGAACCAAATTCATTTTATTCCTCCATAAATACAGACGTGATTAAAATACAGACAAAGGACGTAAATAAGTCCAAAACAACGACAGTCCTGCACAGATTTCATCAGCATTAGCGTGACAACCATCACAGCACACCAACAATGTGAAACAGAAGACTGAGGATGATCCTAATAGTTGAATTAAAGGCTAAGAATGACTGTTTATCACGTCTTTGAACTTGAGGTTTGCTTCTTTAGTGTTGCGCTGGAGCTTTGAGGCTAATGCAGCTGATAAAAGGAAGCTGAAAGCTACCAATTAGCATGGTGCTGACTGCGTGCCTAAATTATTATAGCCTTGCCTCAAACTGTGTGGAGGTGTTCAGTGTCTCTAATAGCCTTGATTATGTGGTTTCTGACTCTGTATGACTCACTGCTATCTATAAATATGGACTAAAATATTGACAAAACTCAGGCTTCAAAATAGCTGCTATTGTTTTTAATTGTGATGTATTTTAGTCTATTTGTAAACAGTATGTTACATAGACTGACTATACTGACTGACCGAATATAACAGAATATATGTAATGGTGTTACAAAATAAAGTTAACTGTATTCTAGTTAGATGAAAAATAGAAGTAAATCAAATTATAGATATGTTATTAATGTAGTGTGATTATTAGTAGGATTCCATTAAAACCACTCAAAAGGCTTTTACACACTGAGTGCAATTTTTTTTGGACAGTAAAAATGCATCACATTCACATTCTGTCCAATTTTCATGAACTTTCACCAGTGATATGAACTCTCTGACCAATCAGAGTTATCTCCGGTGTGGTCATGGTGACAACCAAGACAATTTGCCTCTTTCATGGGAAGAAAAGTGCAGAAAATCCCCCCAAAAAAATAATTTTCTCAACGTTTATTTGTATCATTTGGTGAGTAAATGTGATTTTTCAGATGGTGGAAATGTGACATTCGTTTTTGAGAACTTTCTCACGTGGCTTTAACTCACTCCACAAATCTCTGTTGTCTCTGCTGTTGGCATAGCAACAGCCAAGTTGACCAGACTATTGTGTCTTAGAAAATGATAGCGACTGTCTAAAGGATTAGTTTGTTCTCTGCTGTGATGTGTGCATCTCCAAAATCGGCTGAAACTGGGTTACAGACATCTGAGTGATGCATCAGTGCTTCTTATATCTCTGGGCTTCTTTCACTTTTCCAATAATTTGGGTGAATAACATGGAAAAAACAAACAAATGAATAAATAATTAAAATTAAATTGAGTCATGTCTGGTGTGCATAGTTTTAACAGGCAAACATATGTTATATATGTCATTTTGAAACTGCATTTTATTTTCTTTTTGTCTTCTTTAAACAAGTCTTATAGAAATTTTAACATTAAGAAACTTTAAGAATCAGTATCTGAGAAATCTGTACTGACATTTAGTGTCAGAAACCACATAAGTCAGTCTATTAGAGTTTAACTAAGCTACACTATGTAAGATTTTTGTTGAAACTGAGATAAGTATCATTACGAATTCAGGGGAATAAAAGCTGGCTAAAATATAGAGAGTGTGTGCTGCTGTGAGTCGCCCTGTAAAGCCTCAAACAATCATTTAAAAGTCAGAGGTGTCGAGTTGGGGGTTTTCACACCATGTCGTATGTCTTTTTGTATTAACATCACAAGCACAGCCTCAAAAAGAAGTTCCAGCTCGATGTTTAGACCTCAAATGATCTCAAAATCATCATTATACTGATGAAGATATGATGACAGTAGTAGATAATTCACTCACATCCTCAGAAGACGCTCCTTCACCAGGTTTATACTGAGTTCTCTTTGAATTCTCTTTCAATCATCAGATTCATCCACTCGGGGAAGGGGGCCAGAGCACAAGCCACATTACTAAATGTTCTTTGTGTGCAGTTGCACATTTCCGCCAGAGAGGTCACCAAATCTCCAAAACATACATAGTCTACAAGTGTGTGATGATTTAGGCTAACAGTTAGCACCATGCTAATTGGTGGGGTAGAAGTTTCCATTACTTGATAGCTACATAAGCCTCATAGATCCAGCACAAAAAGTAAGAGAAGCACCAAACATGTCTTGGCCTATTAAAGTGATAACAGTCATAAGACACTAACAATGTACAACACAAGACTGAGGATGATCCTCACAGTTGAATTAAAGGCTAAAAATGACTAATCCCATCACTGAACTCAGACTGTGACAGACCGGGGCTTCTAACCACTTAAATCCAGCCGAATACACGCGCCGAGCTGCTTTACTCCCACAGTCCTGCCTTACTGTCCTCCTCTAAGCCACACTTGTCAACTCCCATCATCCTCTTTGTCCTTCCTAAAAGATTAAATTAGGTCCATCAGCCATTTTGGCAGAGCGTGTCCTTATTTTATAGCACACATAAGTCACGGCAGCCTAATATTCCAGCCAACACACACGCACCCTCTCTCAAACAGCAGCAGGCAAAAGTTTGGATGCACCTACTTACCCACAGTAGGGTTTTCTTCATTTTCATCATATTTTCCACAAATTAAAATTACACTTTTATGACCACTGCTGTCAGCTTATTAACACCAGTTCTTTTTTTAAATACCACTTTCCTAGTTTGACCCTTCAGCCCATCTGTAGTAGTTCGGGTTGAAGCCCAGCTGCAGCGCTGTATGCTGCTCTGACCTTCAGCAGACCACGCTGGACAGCACTCGCAGGAGAACTATGGATAAATCAACAAGCAGCAAACTAACAAAAACAGCAGATTGGTGAAGATCCAGTTCCCCTCAAGAACCTCTACTGTCACAAGAACCCACAAGCTGTATGAAGGAGAATGAGGGGCTACAATCACAGAGGAGTTGGAACACTGACTGTGTATATGATATATATGATAT